CCTAAACTACTCTAAGTGTCTCTTCAACACCAAACGACACTTAGAACTAGTCCATCCTTAACCTTGTCATCCATCCTTTGAAAACTGAAATGATTTCCATCGTAGGGGCATGACAACCATGATTGCCCAATCAATTTCCATTACCATGACCTAACTTAATTGCCTCTGCAAAACACACGTTAGTCATAGTAATCACGTATTGTCATTAATTACCGAAACCCAACTAGGGGCCTAGATGCTTTCAACAGAGTTGCTGTTTCTGCTGTATTTTAGAAGCCACTTCTAGACTGACAAAGGTTCCTGCACTCCCTGAATCCAAGAGAATCAATACTTCTTGAGTGCCAACAAAGCCCCTGAACCTTAATGTTCTATTCTTCTTTTTTGAGTTACTGACAGGGACAGCTTCTGACTATTGCTGAATAGCCATTACCACTTGCTCAACTGTAGCCTCAGCATCCTCCTCAGATGATGAATAATCAGGATCAGAATCAACTTGCACTGCTTCCTTGAGCTCCTAGATAACATGAATTGGAATATGAGTGGGGCACTGATGATTCTTGCCAGTCCACTTTTCACCACATACAAAGCACAGGCCATTGGGTCTGCGATAAGATTTCAGGGCTTGCAGCTTATCTTCAGAGGCTGCCGAATTGTTCTTGGCTTGAATCTTGTGCTCCTCCATCTTTTGCGGCATTCTAACCGTATCTCCCACAAGAGTAGGTCATGGCTGAAACTTTGCAAATGACTTAACAACATATTTGGTTCTGACCGACTCTAATTCTAGCTCCTGCAAAAGTGCAAGCTCACTTGCATCTTAGATAGTCTTGGGCCTATGCAGAGCTATAGCAGAGCGAATCTCCTTTGAAGACCCCCAAGAAATTACGTGACAAAGAATGGCTCATCATATGAAGGGTTGTACAGCAAGATACTATGGGAAACCTCCTCAAACCGACTATGATAAGCTGTTACCAAATCCACTTGCTTCAAGGATTGAAGCTGGCGCAGATGAATTTGGTACTAATCCTGATCGTAACGTGAAATCACCGCCAACTTCATGGTCTCCCAATCCTAAAACCATTCCTTGCGCTCCATCATCTGAAGCCAAACTGCTGCAGGTCCCGTGAAGTTCAATCTTGCAAAGCTTGTCTTCAGGGCCGACATCACCGAATAAAGCTCGAAATACATCTCACATTGATCAGACCAAAATCTAGGGTTAGTGCCATCAAACTTGGGAAATTTCATTTTCGACAGCGAGACGGAACACAAGGCCTGATATCGCTCAAAATGATATCCAGCATGGGGCTGAGGGGGAGTCTCCGGTAACATACCATTGGCCAGGCGTGGTGGGGGTCCAAAGACACCTCCACCATCATCCTGTTGTTGTTTTGCAGCGCCGAGCCCGCCGCGCCTGTTGGTCCAATCCAACCACTCGGTGGAGGCAGAGGCGGAGGCGGAGGTAGAATCAGCGCCGTAGTCGTCGACTCGAGACGCTATAAGCACAGCGTCGCTGCGTCGGTCTTCAACAGCAGATACCCCATGGACTCCTCCGTGATGGCTTACTGAGCTTCAAGTGCGGAGAGCTTGTCTAGGAATTGCTTCATCATGTCTTGAAAGCCCTTGAAATGCTTGGCGAGATCCTCTAGCAACGCCATAATCTACTGCTCAGACTTCGTCGGCTTCTTCGCATGCGCTAGCCCAAAACCGACGAATCAGAGGGAGGAAAAATTTCCGATGAAATCCATAGGGTATCGAGGCTCTGGATACCAATTGTCATGAACTTGGGTAGCTGGGATAGGAATTTAGGGTAGATTAGCAGGAATTTGGGGAAGGATTTGGAAGCAGTAGAGCTCAGAGGGGAGGAGGACGAACGGGAGGTTGGGGAACAGAGTTTTTAGTTATTCATTTCATAACCATCTTCTGTTACAAGGGCAGCATATAAGAAGCAGCGCCCGCACACAACTCTGGGCTAGGCCCCTATGCCTACCTAGGCCAAATCTGATTACAATCGGCCAATACGGCCCAACCAACACCAACTCCAAACGGCTAACGAAACGACCATCAGAATCAGCCAGTGTCGATAGAGCTCCTGACATTAAGCTGCAGTTGATCTCGTAGTCTAGGAGATCAGGCTTCATCTTGGATGGAGCTGTCCAACAAGTAGCTCATGTCTAAGTTATCTTTTCTCTTTTCTTTCTTTTGGGTCCTCTAGAACTTGTATAGGGTGTCGCTTGTTTTGTCTAAGTGTCGTTAACTATTTTGCTATCTTTCTTTCATTAGGTGGTGAGTTGGGAGAGTTTGATAACCCAAGCATTACCCTCTATTAAGCTTTCAATAGAAGCTGGACCAATGGTCTAAAAAACAACTCATGTCGGCGTAGACAGAGATCAGGAGAGGTGTCGGAATGGGTTGCGAAGCCACAAGTTACTCACTCGTGGGCTAGATTTGTACACGGGCCTTTAAAATTTCGGGTCCCTGTAGGAACGCGTGGAGGAAATCCTAGACCGACCCATGGGGGGAAAACTGTTCCGCTCCCGCCCCTTCGGATCTATGGGGACCCACCCCGAACACGACCCGCTACCATCCTAATATTATATAAACACAACTCCCGCCTTATCCGGTCTACCTTAACCGCGCCGTCTTTCTCATCAAACCAGCCAAAACCCTAACCAGTTCAAAAAAGCCAAAACCCTAACCTTGGAGCCATGTCTTCCCTATCTTGCCTCAGCCCATCGCCGCCACCCCTCGGCTGCGGATGAGGCTGTGGGCGGAGCTCACCGCCGGTCGCTCGACACGACTGGCAGGTTCGCTCACTTGGCGTGCATGCTCAGGGTCAGGGCCGGAGCGTACCGCACACGTGCCTTGACTTGTCTGTCTTGGGCACTAGACCCCGGTGACCCTGACGACCCCGGTGGCCTCTATGACCTCAACGAACCCGCATGGATCTAAATCATCAACAATCGTGAGTTCTCCCGCTGTCTACTACAGGCCACCACCTCCTTCAAATCTCATGCAAGCCCACCTCCTCCTCAAGTCCTTGCCTCCATGGTTTTCTCCCTCCATGGTTTTCTCCTCGTGACTGCCACACTCTAACTGCAGCAGGTTCGTGTCTCGTTGTTTTTCGATTTTGATCTTATGGTTCTTACATCTCGTATCGCATAGTTTTAAGTTTGTAGATTCTGTTCATGTAATCGTGTGTCTTTTACTATTTGCCACAAACACCTATTTCTCCTGTTTTGAGATACAAAACTAATAATAGTTATCCTCTTCTCTTGTTCATCCGTGCTTCCTTCGGGTACAATAGCTGCTTTTATATAGTTCTGTTGTTGTGTCTTGAGTTGTTTTTTGATTTTTATCTTATGGTTTGCATATCTTGCGTCACGTTGTTTTATGGTTTGAGGATTCTGTTTGTGTGGGTCTTTTTTCTCGATTCTAATCTATAGAATCCAAACTGTTTGTACCTTAGTTTTTGCCACGAACACATGTTTCGCCTGTTTTGAAGTACAAAACTAATATAAAACCTAATGTCTTTCAGTACAAGTTGATTTGATTTTTCCATCTATTTGCCTTGCAGTTTTTTTTCAGAAGCACTTATGTGTGTGACCTAAGAGAAAATCATGCCTCTCTAGCCTAATCTCTCTAAAACATTGAAGCACTTGGCTAATCCTAAGGAATAGAACATAGGGTGAAAGAGATGCTGTCTTGGGCAACCACTATTCTTATTTATAGGCTTATTACACATTTTCAAGAATACCCCTATGTTTAGACTTGAACCACACTTAGCCACCAGGGCAAAATTATCCAATTTGTCTTTCGTGCATCGGACGACTATGTGTCCTTCATGAAGTCGCTTTGCCTCGACACAAGCTCTTCGATGACGCCATGTGCCGCCCTGAGATCCTCCCTAGGTTTCGAGGCCCAAATCTAAAACCACTATGCCTGCAGTTTTGAGGCCGAAATCGGCATGGCCTGCAAGCCGCATAGCTACTATGCAAAACCTCCAATGTCAACGCGTGTCCTCCATGTTCTCAATCTAGCGGTTCACCAAGTGATCGCAACAGCTTGCCTTGACTTGATCCAACACTGGTTTAGACTCCGGTCATGCTGTCTTCGTCACCATCTTGCATGTACTCTTGCTTATTGACGTGTCCAATGCAAGTGTTGGCCGTCCACGATCCATCCTCCGGCCCTTGATCCCTGGGCTTCACACGTTTTTCTCCGTAGTTGCAAGATTACAAGTGTGGGAAGTTTATATACTCCATAGCTCATCACTATTGCCTTACAAGTTTGCGTCGATCAAATTATATCCTCTTGAAATCCTCACTTTAGAGCATCTCCAAGAGTATCCAAAAGAGTCTTCCAATCCAGGAATTTTGGCAAGATTGAAAAAACTCATCTCCAACAACTCTCAAACCCACCTCTCAATCTTTTGGCACTTGAAAAAAAAACCACACCCATGCTCATAAAGTTACGCGCGCGTATCATCGTGCCAATCCGGAGGTGGAAAGACGTGGGGAAGGAAAAAAAGTAGGATAGGTTCCTGATGCAAATTTACAAGAGAGAAATAAAGTACAAAGGCAGTTAGTGTGATTTAGAAATAGTTTAGGATTGCTGATGTAAAATTACCTTCTATCTCTTTAGCGCGAGATTTTGGAAACTGTTGGAGTTGTAGTTTTTTTATGTCTCCCGATATATTTTGCAAAGGTTGGAAAAACTATTTTTGGGAGTATTTTTTTAGATACTATTGGAGATGCTCCTAGGGCTCCTTTGGAACGTAGGAATTTCATATGATTTGTACAGGATTTTCACAGGAATCAGATCATTTTTTTTATAAGTCAACGGGAGGGGAGAGGGTCCCCCACCTAGGTCTCATTGTATTGGTCGGCTCTGAAAGCCATAGTTTGAAACATTACAGGGTTTCAGGCATTCCTCAGCGCACACATCGTGCTGCCTGATGAAACTGAAAGTAACTAAACATAACATAACATAGGGAGCGTAGGTTGTTACATTGCACTTGAAAGGATTGAGCACCATGTTGTTGCGATGTGTCTATCGTCAGGTTTTAGCCTCGCTCCCCAAATATATGCTTCCAATTTGCATGCTGAAAGGGCACCCGTGAGAGTCATTTGTTCCTTTCTGATAGCAATGGTGTTGCGCCATTTCCAAATATGCCATGAGCAGAGCAGCACGAAGGAGCCAAAGTGTTTCTGTGGGATGTGGTCTGGGCATTGGATCTCTTTTAACCTTGCGATAGGCCAATCTTCGTTAGTTGTAATGCCGACTGCATTCCAAAACTGTTGTGCATTGGTGCAGCCGAAAATGATGTGTGCTGTGTCTTCAGGGCCTGCATTGCAGAGGTTTCATTGTCAACTATTCTTTTCTTCACCAAATTCAGTAATTCACCTTGCACTGAATTCTGCTCTGGGATAGGAGCCATGCAAAGAACTTTACACGCAGGTCATTTTCACAGGTAAAACGCAGAAACAAGAAAGTTTGCTTTGTTCCAAAAGGGCCTTACAATGAAACCCATACCCATCGATCGATAACAATTCACACGTTCCAACCTATTGTCTTCCAGCACCTAGCCGGGGGTGTCCACTTGAAACCCCCCTTCTTCCTCTCCTCCTGCGTCAGCCTCGTGTAGTTCCTCCAATCCACGGCAGCATCCTTGAGGTCGAGCACCTTGTTTGCCAGCCCGATGCAGCAGTTGGCGTGCATGGTACAGGCTCTGTTCAGGTTGGCGTGGTACTCGCAGAACCCGCTGAAGTACACCGTCTCGACGGCCTCGATCCTCGCCTGCAGCTTGGTGATGAGCTCGTGCTTGATCTCGTTGAACACCCCCTGCTCGCTACCGCCGGGGAACCTCGCTCTCGCCGCCCGCCAGTACCTGAGCATCTCGATGCTCCGGTTCGTCGACCTCATGTAGTAGAGCCCCGTGTTGAGCGTGTTGTTCAGGGGAGCAAACGCGTCCCTGAAGTAGTCCGTCGACAAGCTCATGTCGGCGTAGACGGAGATGTGGTGGAACGGGTTGCGAAGCCATATCATGTCGGCGTCCTGCAGTGCAGCAAGCGGCGGCAGGCCGAAGCAAAGCTGATGAGAACGAAGCTAGCTAATAAATGGTAGCTAGGTTAGGTCAAATGAGCTAGTAACGCGCGATCGACGCGAGGCTTAGGAGATCGATCATCTTGCCGTGAAGAGGAAGCTGTAGCCGAGCTCGAGGATGCGCTGCTGGAAAGAGAGCTTGAGCCACACCAGCTCCAGGAATTCCTTTGTCATGAACCTGTTGGCCGAGCTCAGGTTCGCCGTTGACTTATTCACCTCAAGGAGGTAGCAGTGAGGGTGAACGGCCTTGCAGCGGCCGAACCCACCGGAGTCGATGGCGATGACTAGGACGTGGTTGAGGAAGTGCTCTATGTCCTCGCCGTTCTTGAAGCTCTCACGGTAGATGTCCAGCAGTGAGCCGGGCTGCGCCCATGCCTCGTTCACCAACGTGAGTATCACCGTCCTGTCCTCCATGGCCACTCTCGGCAGAAGCTCAGCTAGGCCTGCGAATCCCACCTGCGAATGAAATGTATACACGCACGATCGATATATATACACCACACTATTCATCAGACTATTGCATTTACGTATCAAACATATATATATATACCTCTTGATCATGAGTAGTAGTGTTGTCGCTCTCCTGAACCCGCGGGCCAGCCGACTGCCGGGTTCCACTGCTTCCCCAGCTCATGGAGATGCTTGACAAGCCGTCGCCGAGTCGGTCGGACGCCAGGAAGAGGAGAAAGGCTGTGGGCAGAGCAGCGCCGATGAGGAAGGACACCAGGTGGCTGCTGTCCTTGCCTCCAAGCCCCATGTTGGTTGTTGCGTCTCCGAATTCAAACTGCAACGACAACGCTAGTCATGTTCTATATCTCTGCCCCTGCGAGCCTCTGGATCTCCAATGACAAGGCCATATCAAATGCTGCTAGTAGCTACTCCTACTATCCATCGTTCTCTTCTCCCAAGGCATGGACTTCATTTCCGCACTTCCTAAATTTCGTCTCGTTGGCTAAATCTTGGTTACACACGGTCAAGGTCAACTTTTGTCCAATGGTCCAATAAGCATGAATCGGTCGAGATTACCGGGTCATAATTTTCCTCTGACTCAGTAATATCCTCTACGGAAAACAAATAATTCGTACTGTTAGAATATTTCTAACCTTGAAGCTGGGATATGTTTTTGGATCTTCATCATCCAATGGTTCATCTCACCAACTGAATAAAACTTCCATTTTTGCCAACGAAGAAAAGCTCTTTAATTTTCTTTTTCCCCATCTTTCTAAATCGTCACAAGGCTGTCGTACGTATTTCTTTTTGTCATCATATACGACTACTGCGCAGCGGTTAGCCAATACGGTCATAGGGGGCAACTACCTCTACCTGCCGTGATGTCTGATCACTAATAGTATTAGTTTAAGCACAAGTACGATTTTACACGCACGAATGTGCTAACCGCGCGCGATGGGAACAAGCTCTACCAGCGGTTTTCCTTGTCAACCACCGTTGTGCGATGGTTTAGAACAACGCAAGTACATTTTCTAGAAGTACTCCTACACCGATATATACATCCACCGTCTGCTCACCTTTGGAATTTCTCTAGCGGTGATTAGTCATTTATGGTTACTAGTATAATGCCCGTGCTAACGTAATAGTTTTATCTAGAGAATGATCATAAAAACATCCAATTTGTTATTTTGTAGTTTAACCTTTACCCAATTATTATATTGTAGCCTAAGTTATATTTGGCGTAAGTCCTTTATCATTTGTTGCACATCTTCAGGGATGTTGAAACATTCGTTTGCAGGATTCGTCAAAATGTCAGCCAATAATTCCTTCTTCAGTGTAGATGATAGCTGCGCATGGTATAGAATATAATATGTTAGTATTGTATGTAGTGTACGGAATATAGTTGGACACTATATATGCTTACAGTGGTGATCCGTGGCAATCTTACGCCGTCCCACGACTTCATGAAATTATAGACAAGAAAGCCTCCCAATTTCCTGACGGAGAAGATCAGTTGTTTATTTGATGTACATAAATCAAATTACTATTTTTTTATAGAAAAGTTGAACCAAATTTTGCGACACTTACCAGTATTTATGACCCGAAACCTTTGTTACATATTTAGGGTATTTTCGCTCCCAGTAATAAATATTTTCGCTCCACCTAAAATTTGATAGTGTCATGGCGAGATTGAACATTCTAGCATTAGTGTGGAATGTAGGTATATATGTCATTTCTTGATGATAACCCTTCAAACATGCATTATCTGGTAGCGGTTCAAGCGGATCCATAATGTGCACAGTTTTGTTTTGCATGTCCAGTATGAATAAAATGTATAGTCCATTCTGATAATATGGTAGTAGAATCTGAAAACAAACACACAGACTGTAAGTGGTTCATAAATAAAATAAATAAATTCTTATAAAGTAGTACACTGACCATAACGTACCTGGCTACAATCTTGAATTTTATAGTGCATGTCTGGCCAGCACAAGTACCTTTTTCAATTTGTTGTAGTATACCTTATCAATGCCATCAGTACATCGTGGATCTCTTCCAAACCCAGTTATTTCCTGATGATGATTGTAATTGTCAGTATATAAATTTTTAATCACATATATTACAAGTTTTTGATGAATTATAGAATTTTAGAACTTACAGCAAATTTAAGATCCATAGTAATTTCCTGATGAAGATCCATTGTAATTGTCAGTATTACAGCAAACTTCGTCTCGTTGGCTAAATCTTGGTTACACACGGTCAAGGTCAACTTTTGTCCAATGGTCCAATAAGCATGAATCGGTCGAGATTACCGGGTCATAATTTTCCTCTGACTCAATAATATCCTCTACGGAAAACAAATAATTCGTACTGTTAGAATATTTCTAACCTTGAAGCTGGGATATGTTTTTGGATCTTCATCATCCAATGGTTCATCTCACCAACTGAATAAAACTTCCATTTTTGCCAACGAAGAAAAGCTCTTTAATTTTCTTTTTCCCCATCTTTCTAAATCGTCACAAGGCTGTCGTACGTATTTCTTTTTGTCATCATATACGACTACTGCGCATCGGTTAGCCAATACGGTCATAGGGGACAACTACCTCTATCTGCCGTGATGTCTGATCACTAGTAGTATTAGTTTAAGCACAAGTACGATTTTACACGCACGAATGTGCTAACCGCGCGCGATGGGAACAAGCTCTACCAGCGGTTTTCCTTGTCAACCACCGTTGTGCGATGGTTTAGAACAACGCAAGTACATTTTCTAGAAGTACTCCTACACCGATATATACAGCCACCGTCTGCTCACCTTTGGAATTTCTCTAGCGGTGATTAGTCTTTTATGGTTATTAGAGCAACCAACAGGATAATTAATATTAAACTGTCGGTTAAAAATCACATAGGAAAATTAAAACCGATAGGAAAATATATAATTATTCTGTGAGATTACCGATGGGAAAATTAATAATCTTATCAGTTTTTAATTAGCACACAGAAAAAATATACTTATAGTACGGAGGTCATTTTTTCTATTGGCTATCGATGACAGATAAATTTCGAGACCAGTTGAAAAATAATTTTCCTGTCGGGCTCTAACTGATAAAAAAGTCCTTTCTAACGGTGGGCCATCAACAATTTTTAATTTTATACTATGAGTAACGGTTACTGATAGGAAAATTAATTATCCTGTTTGTATTTAAATACCCCACAGAGATAAATTATCCTTATGGTGTTGAGTCATATTTGTGTCGCTGTTGATGACAAAGATAAATTCCTAGACCCCTCGAAAAATAATTTTTCTGTGGCTCTAAATCGATAGGAAAATGGTTTCTAACGGTGGGCCTTTACACATTTTTTCTCTATATTGCTCTATCCATGTCGGTTATTTCCAGTAGGTTCATCGTCAAAGAAATTGTTTTTTAGTTTTCCTATCAGTAAATTGCACAGTAAGGAAAATTCCCGTTTTAGTGAGTGATACTGAGCCATATGACCGCACCAAGACCAAATCATCATTATGATAAGTTAATATGGCATGAATATTGGATGATGATATGAAGTGAGCCTCGTGGGCGGTGACTAGCCTTGCACGACAATTATTCTTTTTAATATAATCGACCATACTTGATTGTTTAAAAAACAATATAGTATACATGACAATTTAGATTTCAACTTGTGGAGGGTTAGGTCTTTGGTCTATAGCAGTGGTGGGTGCGAGTTGCTGCTTCTACTGTGTGTGTTGGTGTCCCATTCCAACCAGCAATTGTTATTAGTTGTTTCGGTTGCTTCAATTGTGTTGTTGTTGCTAGACCCTTCAGGGTAACTGTTGTTTCATTGTATTACCTAGCTAATCTGGGCTTTTTATCTTTTAATATAGTCAGCAGCTCTCCTGCCTGATTCGTTTAAAAAACAATGTAGTATATATATGGCAATTTACTTTTCAAGCTACTTCTAAAGAAAGGGATAGAAACTAATTAATTATAATTGGAAGCCTCCATAATAACTCCCTCAAGACATGATAGGATAAATATAAATTCTATTTTTCATAAAATGTAGAAATATCCCATCATCGGTTCAGTAGATTCTAATCATCATTAACAATAATAGTTATTGATCTATTCTATATTTTCTAAAAAGTTACCCATACATGCTACTTTTGGAAAATAGATAAATTAAAACAACATGAAATTTGCATCTAAGTTACATGCACATACTACTAATAATTACCTATATTTGAACAAAGACTGCAATATTTGATCTAGAATCTATTTTTGAATAGAATACAAAGGTGATGGTGACTTATTTTAAGATTACCAAAAAAAAGAATATAATAAGCACTAGTGTTTTAACTTAAAATACAGGCTTAAAATTCTAGCAATTAATAAAATCAAAATTTGAAAGCTAAACTATAGATATCACAACATGGCTACGACAAGAGCTAATATAACATAGGTTAAGCTTCACTTGACCACATATACACGAGACATGGTGCACCCACATAAACTAGTTAAACTCTGCGCCCCATGTACTATCATTCTGATTTACTGTATGTGATTCATACGACTACTCGTCAATCGTAAAAAGCATTGCCAACACAATCACAATTTCAGACTATAGTATGTCACTTAATTTTTGACTATGCCAAACATCTCTAATTTTAACCAATTGTTTTAGAAAAATGTTAACATGTAGGAGTATCAGTTAAAATAAATGTTGTAATTTATTGTCGTAGACGTTAGTTCTATAAACTTAATTAAAGTTTTGATTTACTCATAGGACATTTGGAACATAGGGAGTAGATAGGTAACTACAATGCTGATTTTTGTACTTCCATGAATCCATGGATTATATTTGAAAATATCATATAAAAAAGTGTCCCTTGAACTAGGGTAGAATACAATTCTAATATTCAAATATTATCCAAAAAGGATTCAACTCTAGCTTTAGTTTGGGATCCACAACTCTAGTTTTATGGTGCCCTAAAAAAAGGTTGCCACATATATGTGCTCCCTTCGTCTTCGAATAAATCAGTTTTGAGTTGTCTTAAATTAATTTTTTATATCTGTCTAAATTTATAAAAGAGCATAAATACAAATTTATAAAAGAGCATAAATATTTATGACACCAAATGAGCATATTGTAAAATATATTTTATAGTGTATCTAATAACACTAATTTTGTGTCATAAATCTCAGCAGGATTCCTTTTCTATAAATTTGATCAAATTTAAAAATATTTGACCTAATAAGACAACTCTAGAAATTGATTTACTAATAGTAATAAAATATAGAGTTTGTGGATGTGATCACTTGACTTGCCTTGGTCCAACCAACACATGTACATACAGATAAAATAAAGTCTGTGTAGGGATACATATACCATTTTATTTGTTCTTGACTAATTTGTCCTTGAAAATTGAGAATTATATTCTTCGTGGGACGCAGCCCAGTTGCCTCTAGGGATGCATGATCATGTATTTATCGATCAGTTCTTTTTGTCCGGCGTTTCGCACTTGGCAGGATCCTTTTCCATAAGAACTTTCGGCTCTTCTTCTCCTGCGGCATCAGGCCAGTGTAGTTCCTCCACTGGCCGAGCACTTCCCTGAGGTCGTGCAGCTTGTTGGCGAGGCCGAAGCAGCAGTTGGCGTGCATGGTGCACGCCGCGCCCATGTTGCTGTGGAAGATCCGGCAGAAGCCAGCGAAGCGCGCCGTGTCGAGGCCGGAACTGGATGCGCACCCCGAGGGCGGCGGCAAGCTCGTGCTTGATCTCGTTGAAGATGGCCTGCCCGTGGTTCGGCGGGAACCTCCGCCGCGCAGCCTGCCACTGCCGCAGCATCTCCACGGTCCGGTTCGTCGCCTTGACGTAGTAGAAGCCGGTGTTGGACCAGTTGTCGTCAAGGCTGTTGGCGTCGTCGCTCGACGTCGTCATGTCCGCGAAACACGCTGATGTGCCGGGAACGGGTCGCGCTTGCGCATACCACACGACGTCCACATCCTGCATGCAGAGAGACGATCTCAGCCGGACGTGCAGCTATGATGCATCTTCAGGTCATAATCTAAAATGCGTTGCATCCGTGCTTAAATCGTTTGAGCTTCGATGGATGGCTGATGGCGTACCGTGAAGGTGAAGAAGAAATGGTAGCCGAGCTCGAGGACGCGCTGCTGCAGCGAGAGCTTGGCCCAGACGAGCTCCACGTAGGCCTCGCTCAAGAAGCTGTTCTCGGAGCTCAGGTTCGTGGAGGACTTCACCTCGAGGAGGTAGCAGTGTGTGGGTGCACGGCCTTGCAGTGGACGAACGCCACAGCGTCGACGGCGACGACAAGGACATGGTCAAGGAAGTGTTTGGTTCCCTCGCCGGCCCGAAAGCTCTCGTGGAACAGGCCGAGCAACGAGTTAGGCCTCGCCCAAATGCTTCGTTCTCTGACGTGATGATCACCGTCCTGTCGTCGGTGGCGATTTCAGGTAGCAGCTCAGCCAAACCTTTGTGTTCATAAGGAGAACACAAAGGTTTGGGTGATGGTGCACCTGCTATGCTTCCTTTGGGGGTATCTCCGAAGATGACTTTTTGCGCCTGCCAAGCCATCACTTCGGAAGCCGCCTCAGATGAAGTTAGGGATTGCCTATGGGGCTCATGTGATGTGATACTTCGGTCTGCATCGAGGGTCAGGTTAAAACATGCAAACTGAGGGAGAGCCCATGAGGGATATGGGCCCCCCAACATTCGCCTTACTTCTGTCTACCTCCCGGGCACCGAATCAACTCCCTTAATTTCTTCTTTGATTCACCTCCGAGTCTCGAAAGGACGCATCGACGTCATCTAGAGTAGCTTAACATTTTGTTTATTGAAAAATAGGTTGTTTGTAAACTTTTTTAAACCACGGACCTTTTGTACTTGAGGAATTGTGATCCGCTGCTAAAGTAACAATAAAGAACCAAGTAAGATTGAAAACCATCAAGTCCTGACTTCAATCTATCATGTGTACTTCATGAAAAACTGTTCTTTTTACACATTCATATTTAAGTGTAACTTACAGTTGAAGGATTTGGATCAGAATTCTAGTGATTAACCTCTTTGCTCAAGCAGAAAACCAAGATGGACAAGTAAATTGAGCTCCTGAGACAAATTAGTTCAAGATTGTGGTGTAAATTGATGAAATGCAGTGAACCAAAAAGAAATAAACAAAGAAATAAAGTGCAATAATTTCTTTAATATCTTGTGTGATAGTACCTTCACATGGTCCTATAAAGCACTTAACCACATGATGGCCAACAATCGTGTTCATTAGTTATTGTCAATTGATATCCAATACTTGTACTAACAAACAATGCATTGGTTAGTTGAGACCCCACCTAACCTAGGTTGATAATCTCAATTTCTAATCCATGGACAATAGATCAATTTTATATAGTCCACAACCATAACATGAATATGCTCTATGGATGCATGAAAAATAGAAAATATTTTGAACTATTGATCAATATCATATTGAAAAGATGGAATCCTCAATTCTTAAGAGTATCGCTTTTTCATTTGAATTCGTTTAGGGTCCCGAATATTCATTTCAAAATTAGATAACAATATAATGAGGACGAGTATGTCATATGGACACAACAAGTGACTTATGAGTGGAGTGGCACGCGAGGCCTGAGGTAGTAGATTTGACGAGCCCCTACAGCAGTGAAGGTGCGTGAAAAGTCACGTGCCTCGTGTGGCCCAGCCGCCCCTACAAACTATTTATAGCCGTCAGCCATCCCTACGAACCATCTGTAGTTGCCCCTAGAAATGTTGTATATAGCAGTATTTATAGGGGTGGATACATGTGCATATATCTGTGAATGTCCGTATTATATGTTTAAAAAATATTAAAATGGCTCATGTTACACACTTGAGATTGCACTTCTCAAGGCCAGGCCTGTCTTAAAGGGAGGGCAGGCAGTGCGACGGGCGGGGGCCCATAGCCGCTGGGGGCCCATGAGTATATGTATCTATAGCATATGTATTCGGCTCAGAAACAGTCCAGTAGTTTCCTCAAAAAAAAAAAAAAAGTCCAGTTTGCGTGGCGAGTCGGCGACTAGTCTGCGTATTCGCGCATGCCTGTCTACGATCTTCGTATTCACGCGTCACTCAGCGTGGTTGCCGTTCCCGTTCGTATCTATTTATCTTTTAATTTCTTTATTTATTGTACTATATATCGTTATTTTTGTGAACTAAATATATATGCAAGTTAACTCTTTTTTTTTGAAGATTCAGAGGAGCCAGAGGCTCCTACTGCAAATTATTATTAAAAAAAGGTAACAGAGTGACGATAATACAAAGGGTAAGAAAAGAAAGCTAACATCCTATGCCCATCCCCTTTCTAACTGGAGTAAAAAATCCAAAAGATTACAAGTTGGAGTTTATCCATGATTCAAGAAGGGGGGTGATTCTTGACTTTGTTCTGTGCAACAAGAGAAGAGAGAAGAGATTCCACCGTGACTACCCTTCTGCAGTCCTCAACTGAGGGATTTTTGTTTCTAAAAATAACATCATTCCTCATTGTCCATGTTGCCCAGCAAATCAGAATGAAAATGTCAAGTGCAAAGCTAACATTCTGAAGAGTTTTCCAATCTTGAAAGATCTGAGGCGTAGAGAGCTGTTCTGCAAACTGAAAATTCCAGGCCCCCAACAATCCTTAGCAAATGGGCAGTACAAGAGAAGATGCATTAAAGTTTCTTCAGAAGATTGTTGACAGAGCACACAATGATAGTCATCCAAGTTAACTCTTATTAATAGTACTAGTATACTGCCCGTGCTAACGCTACAGCAACATTTAGATACATGCAAATTAGAACTGAAATATATGCAAACTAAAACAGAGTACTTGTTGACAGACACAGACAAGAGCTACAAAGCCTACAAGTTCACTGTCCTCATTGTCGCTTCCCTCTACGTTCAATGTCCTTGTTTTCATCTTGTAGGCAGCACCACCAGCAAAGTCATCAGGTTAATAAGCCACCACGACTAAAAATTTGAAGAGGAACATAGCAAAGTCAGTTCCATAGGTGCGGGTTTTATAATAATAATAAAATTATAAATAGGCCGATGTTACGAAGAGATGACAGAGACTGCAACTTTTATCATGATTCGGCGGGCGTACCGTAGAAAAATGACGCAATCGATAAGGAGCAATTTATATAGTAGATAGCTAAAAATATATATTCTTTGGTCAGGCCAGCCCATCTAATAGAATAAGCAAGAACACAAGACAACTATCTACTGTAGGAACAAATATATTCTTTGTGCAGCTGCTCCAAAATCGGTATCATAAAAACACGTGACTATCAATGTATTAACTGTAGGAACAAACATATTTTAGCAAGGCTAATAAAATATTCTAAATGTATCTAGTAGCAAAAGGACTTAAGTTCAGTAGCCCCAAGCTCGATCTAATTTTTAGATAGAAGAATACATGTACACGGGAGAGGGAGTATTATAGCTTACTGAACAGCAGTTTTTTTATTAACTTCTTTTATAACAGCAGCAGTTGGTTTAACTTATACAGAGCTACTTGTGTGCTGATTCAAGTCCACCACCAGCAGCTGTCCGCCACTGCAAGTACGGGCCACTGCCAAATTTACAAAGCATCTGACCATTAGTCGTTGTCACTCAAAATAAGTACTGCTACCAATTTCATTGGTTGAGGATCAAACGCAATCATCAGCGCATTCCATAGGCAACGAAGGGGAGGAAACAAAAGGAAAGGAAAGACCGCATACCAGCACGAACTGGTTAATACTCATCTCGCCGCCCTCTTCATCCTCGTGTCCACTCAGCAGGTGCTGCCTCTCGCCATCCAGGAGCCGGATCTAGGCTGGCCGCGCCGGATCAGCCCTGTGCGCCGCTTGTCGCCATCCCTTAGCCTGGCCGCACCATGGCTGCGGCTACTGTCGGGGCAGCGCACACGCGGGAGGGTGCATCACCCCCTACACATATAGATGAAACACAGCTAACTAAAGTCATGAACACCAGATTTTTAATATAGTGATACAGCTTTATTTTCTAGCAAGGAGATGAGAAACATATACTACAGCTGTACAACATTCTAGCCAGGCAGTATCCTTCACCATGCTACCATCTCCACTGACCCAAGCAAAATAGAGTTGAACCACTCTTGCGCAATCATTAGGTGTCACAAGAACCAAGAGCAACAAAAGAATTTTGTTGAGGAAGAAAAACATTTCATGAGAAATGTATACCTCATCATTTTCATAAAGATAGCCGAGGATGGATATTTGACATTTTCTCCTGCCCTTCTTTAAAACCAGGAAGCATATCTGCATTTAAGGTTAAGCGAAAAGTACATGCTCCACAAACAAAGCAATGAACAACCACTTGTTATGAATTCCATCACTGTAGACACATGACCATGACATACACATATGTCCCAGAAAAATATTTACAGGGAAAAAAGAGAACAAGATCAAAATCACTAATCAGGATACGATGTGAAAGAATAATTGGTTTGTTCTTCCTTTTGATGTCATCGCAGTACTCCCTAGGTAGCACATTGACCTTCCTTTGGTCCATCCCCAACTGGCATATGTCAGCCTACAAAAGAAAAAGGATAAGGAAAATGATTTGTAAGCAGAATTCTTGTTTCTATATTGAAGGTGCACACCACTTTGAAATATCAAAAGCTTTTCAGTCTTTGTTAATTAATGTGTAAATACAGTCAGAATGGAAATATCAAAAGCCTTTTAGAACTCAAAGAGAATTCAATAAAATTTCTTTTGGAATACCAAGGAATGCAATAGCGCGATAAATACTTGCCTTCAAGAAAAATATATCAGCACATTGCATGCAAGGGTAGAGAATTTGGGCAACATCTGCAAGTAAAGGAAAAATGGAATTACTTACACACTTCATAATAAGCACATGGAGCCATGTTCATGGTGAAGCTTTCGAAGAGAATAAGGCTTTTAATGTAAACACAACATAAACAAGAGTGTACCAAAAGTGACATGTCCTGTATTTTGTCAATATTAACATATTGTAAAATCATCATGGAAATTAGCGTTTGGTCAATATTAACATATTGTAAATACAGATTTAATAATAGTGATGGTACACATGAACTGTAATTAGTGAGAAAAAAGTAACATATGCCCATAACCAAGATGAGGCTCAAATTCCTACTCCAGTTTGCTCCTTCTTAAATCTACTTACTTCAATTAAGTCTACCAGATGTATGCAGCTAAATCGAACTCCCAGATCCAGTTGATACAATTATCTGTAAAATTGGTTTGCATACTATCTATAAGAAACAGACATAACAATTATGAAGATAACTCTAATAATAATCTGACTGAAACATAATCCAAAGGGAGTTCTCACACCTGATTATTTTCCACGATTCACAATACAGAACACATCTCTTTTTTTTATGAAAAACAGGAGGGGTTGCCCCCTACTTGATTTTATTAAATTTTGAATTACAGTATGTACAGAGCTCTACAAAGGAGACTTGAAAAACAAAAAAGGAAGTAAAGAAGTTCATGAAAATTATACATAGCTGTTGAGCCATTAATCAAACATTGGTTGAT